GAGCGGGAGATTTTTCTCAAGTCAGGGAGTTTCAAAACCAGCCTGAAAAGAGCGAGACCCCATCTCTACTATAAATAGAAAGAAATTAATTGGCCAACTAAAAATATATAGAAAAAATTAGCCAGGCATGGTGGCGCATGCCTGTAGTCCCAGCTACTCGGGAGACTGAGGCAGAAGGATTGCTTGAGCCCAGGAGTTTGAGGTTGCTGTGAGCTAGGCTGACGCCACGGCACTCACTCTAGCCTGAACAACAAAGCGAGACTCTGTCTCAAAAAACAGAAAAAAAAAATTTTAAATGGCAATTTTTATTTTTATACAAATTTTACCACAGTAAAAAATTTTTCCAAAGAAAAGAGACTGTCTTCAAACATAAGATCTTAAGAGAAAAACTGTGACTACTATTTCAAACAACAGTGTCTGACAACAATTCATTCGTAAGTTACCTCAGAGCACACAGCCAATTTTCATTGAAATTCTGTAAACTGAAAACGCTTAAGTATTTGAGTTGTATAGTGATTTCCATTCTCTCTTCTCAAAAAAGTTTAACTTACTATGCAGCATAAATCTGAAGATTAACATTCAAGAGAAATTTGAATTGCTCACGCAACAATGTTATCAATTCTAACTTATAGGCTCTAAGCAAACATTTTCAGGAAAGGTCTTCTTATACTTTGTGATGATCCCTGCCGCGCCCTCGGCCTCCCAGAGTGCTAGGATTACAGGCGTGAGCCTCCGCACCTGGCCTAAATATTTTTAAGTATACAATTCAGTAGCATTAATTATATTCACAGTGTTTACAATCATCATTATCTATTTTCAAAACTTTTTCATCACCCAGAATAGAAACTCTGTACCTGTTAAGCAGTAACTCCCCATTCTTTCCTCCCCCTAACCCTTGATAACTTCCATTTTGCTTCTGTCTCTATGAACTTGCCTATCCTAGATATTTCATATAAATGGAATTATATAATATGTTCCCTTTTGTGTTTGGCTTTCCCTTAGCATTAGCATAGTGTTTTTAAGTTTGGTCCATGTTATAACATATATCATAATTTCTTCCCTTTTTATGTCTAAATAATATTCCATTGTATGGATATGCCATGTTTTTTTAATCCTGTCAATAGAAAAAAAGCCAAACTCTGTAAAATAATCTTAAAGAAATTTATTCTGAGCTAAATTTGAGGACCATGACTAGGAGTCACTGCCAAGAGGCCTTGAGCTAGTGGACCCGATGTGGCTAGGTTACAGTTTGGTTTTATACATTTCAGGGAGACCGGGGTTATTATAGGTAAATAAATCAATACATGGGAGGTATACATTGGTTTGGCCCAAAAAGGTGGGGCATCTCAAGCGGGGGAGGCTTACAGGTTATAGGTGGGTTTAAAGATTCTTTGGCTTGTGGCCAGGCGTCCTCGTAGATCACGCCTGTAATCCTAGCACTCTGGGAGGCCGAGGCGGGCAGATTGCTGGAGGTCAGGAGTTCGAAACCAGCCTGAGCAAGAGCGAGACCCCGTCTCTACTATAAATAGAAAGAAATTAATTGGCCAACTAATATATATAGAAAAAATTAGCCAGGCATGGTGGCGCATGCCTGTAGTCCCAGCTACTCGGGAGGCTAAGGCAGGAGGATTGCTTGAGCCCAAGAGTTTGAGATTGCTGTGAGCTAGGCTGATGCCATGGCACTCACTCTAGCCTGGGCAACAAAGTGAGACTCTGTCTCAAAGACAAAAAACAAAAACATTCTTTGACTTGTAATTGGTTAAAGACTTGAAGCTTTGTCTAAAGACTTGGAATGTTTTAACAGAAGGAGTGTTATCAGAGATAAGCCACTGGACATAGATTTGTTGTGTAAATTGAGGACCGGTAGGTTTGTCTTGCATACCCTTAGGCCTGTTAATGGCTTACAAAGGATGCCTCTAAGAAGGGAGGGGGACTTAAGGCTTGTCTGACCTCCCTCCTCTTGGCAGATAATTTAATTTTAGGATATTCCTTTGGCCACTAGTGGGTCCATTTAGTAAGCCGGTGGGGGGGGTGAGCCTTAAAATTTTATTTTAGTTTACAATTCATTCATCTGTTGATAGACACTTGGGTTGCTTCCAGCTCTGGTTGTTGTGAATAGTGTTGCTTCAGAACATTGGCATACAACTGTCTGTTTGAGTCTGTATTTTCAATTCTTTTTTGTTTTTGAGCCAGAGTCTTACTGTTGCCCAGGCTAGAGTGCTGTGGCAGCAGCCTAGTCCACAGCGACATCAAACTCCTGGGTTCAAGCGATCCTCCTGTTTTAGCCTCCCAAGTAGCTGGGGCTACAGGCATGTACTACCACTCCCGGCTAATGTTTTCTGTTTTTTTTTTTTTTTTTTCCAGTTTCCTAGCTAATTTCTTTCTATTTTTTAGTAGAGACAGGATCTCTTGCTGAGGCTGGTCTTGAACTCCTGACCTCAAGCGATCCTCCTGCATCGGTCTCCCAGAATGCTAGGATTACAGGTGTAAACCTGTAATAAAATTTTAAAAGCCCTAAAATAAAATTTTAAGGCTCACCCCCCATCCGCTGACTGAATGGACACCCTTGTGGCCGAAGAAATGTCCTAAAATTAAATTGTCTGCCAAGAGGAGGGAGGTCAGACATGCCTTATGCCCCCATCCCTTCTTGGAGACATCCTTTGTAACCCATTAACAGGCCTAAGGGTATGCTAGACAAACCTACAGTTCCTCAATTTACACAATAAATCTATGTCTAGTGGCTTATCTCTGATAACACTCTTTCTGTTAAAACATTCCAAGCCTTTAGACAAAGCTTCCTGTCTTTAACCAATTACAAGCCAAAGAATCTTTAAACCCACCAATAACCTGTAAGCCTCCCCCCCTTCGAGATGTCCCACCTTTTGGGGCCAAACCAATGTATACCTCCCACGTATTGATTTATGACTTTACCTGTAACCCCTGTCTCCCTGAAATGTATTAAACCAAACTGTAACCTAGCCACATTGAGTCCACTAGCTCAAGGCCTCTTGGCAGGGTCATGGTCCTCAAATTTGGCTCAGAATAAATCTCTTTAAAATTATTTTATAAGCCGGGCATGGTGGCTCACGCCTGTAATCCTAGCACTCTGGGAGGCTGAGGCGGTCAGATGGATTGCTCGAGGTCAGGAGTTCAAAACCAGCCTGAGCAAGAGCAAGACCCCATCTCTTCTAAAAATAGAAAGAAATTAACTGACCAACTAAACATATGTATACAAAAAATTAGCTGGGCACTGTGGTACATGCCTGTAGTCCCAGCTACTTGGGAGGCTAAGGCAGGAGGATCGCTTGAGCCCAGGAGATTGAGGTTGCTGTGAGTTAGGCTGATGCCATGGCACTAACTCTAGCCTGGGCAACAAAGTGAGACTCTGTCTCAAAAAATAAATTAATTAATTAAAATAAAATAAAATCATTTTACAGAGTTTGGCTTTTTTCATTGACAAAGGCGTGAGCTACTATGCCTGGGCCCTATTTTCAATTCTTGTAAGAACCTAGGACTGGGATTGGCTTGTTCCCTTTTAACCATTTATTCATACGTCTAATAGTGAGTGGCCACTCATTGATCATATTGTGGAACATATAGCTGATATTTTAACAGTGAAGAAAGACTTCACAAATGCATGAAGTAGATTTTATGCACTTATAAATTAGCTCCTTAGTCACTGCTCTCCCCACATTTACCCACAGGCATTTACACATACATATACACGAACTTTTAGAGGGTGTATGACTTGCCTCTGTTGTTGTTACTGATTTATTTTTTTTTCTTTCTCCAAATTCTACCTAGGCAAGTTGCTGACTTTATAAATGAATTGACTGGGTGTTAAGAGTGGCTGAGGTTATGGGTTGTAGTTTGAGAAGAAAACGTGGACGACAAGAAAGAGCCAAAGAGCTTTAAACTGCAAGTCAGGAGATGAGCTTGGTGATCTGGCTTCCAAAGTCTAAACAAATTAGAAACAGAAATGTAGAAGGAGATAACTGAATCAAAAATAGACAATGGAAAAAATAGAGAACTTTGCTTTTATGATCATCCATGCCCATCTTCTACAGGTTGAAAAAGTAACATGGTAGTGAGGAAACAAGGGAGAAAACCCAGAAGCAAAAGAAAAAATTGGTAAGTAATCTATGTAAAGAAATACTACACTTTTTAACAAATTGACTGCCACGTGAATTATATTTAACTCGGGCTACTTTTGACCCTGGGGGCCTCCTGAAGCAAAACCCTGCAGTTGGTTCATGAAAATCTAACCTGTTGATGTGCTTATTGTTACAATTAATACTGACAATTTAATTCTAAAAACATGGATGGCATTGTGTATAACTCACACACAGGAAACAATAAAAAATAACAAATTAGAAATTATCTTTTTGTTTTAATAAAATATCGTGATCCTAAGGAAAAAAAATTTTTTCTAGTGTGGCAATGAATGTGTTACTAGGTCAGATTTCTGCAAATTCTGCTTTCTTATTCCTAGCTGTGAGCTCACAGCAAATGGAAAAGGGTTTATAAACCACTAAAATTGCTGTCACAAAGTCCAGGACCCTTATGTTTTTGGAGAGGCCCTCATTTACGTATGATGACATAAAATTCTAATAATTATGGCTCCCTGATGCATATCCCACAACAGATTTAAAAAGAAAATTAGGGCCAGGCATGGTGGCTCACACCTGTAATCCTAGCACTCTGGGAGGTCGAGGTGGGCAGATTGCTCGAGGTAAGGAGTTCAAAACCAGCCTGAGCAAGAGCGAGACCCTGTCTCTACTATAAATAGAAAGAAATTAATTGGCCAACTAATTATATAGAAAAAATTAGCCGGGCATGGTGGCGCATGCCTGTAGTCCCAGCTACTGGGGAGGCTGAGGCAGAAGGATTGCTTGAGCCCAGGAGTTTGAGGTTGCTGTGAGCTAGGCTGATGCCACGGCACTCACTTTAGCCTGGGTGACAAAGTGAAACTCTGTCTCAAAAAAAAAAAAAAAAAAAAAAAAGAAAAACAAACAAAAAAAGAAAATTAGGAGGCTGGGCATGGTGCCTCATACCTGTAATCCAAGCACTTTGGGAGGCCAAAGCAGGAGTATGGCTTGAGACCAGGAATTTGAGACCTGCTGGGCAAAAAAGCAAGACTTCATCTGTATGAAAAATAAGGAAGATTAGCTGAGCGTGGTGGCATGTGCCTGTAGGCTCAGTTACTCAGAGGCTGAGACCAAAGGGTCGCTTGAGCCCAGGAGTTTGAGGCTGCAGTTACCTGTGATCATGCCACTACACTCCAGCCTGGGCAACAGAGTGAAACCCTGTCTCTAAAAAAAAAAATTTTTTAAAAGGAAAATAGGTAATGATGGTTTATTGAAGAAGTTGGGTGCTTGACAACACTGAGCAGTGATGATATAATAGCATGATGTCAAGGTAAATTAGCTCAAAAGCATACCCATCTGGGAGCATTTGGTGGTAGAAGGGCAAACAGTCCTATAGACCTGTAGCCCCTAGAGGCATCCCAAGTTCACAGGAAAATATAGCTGATGATCATAATCATGACCATGAGTCATGAGTAAAGGGTGATATTTGTTGTAGAAAATTATATAATTCCCTTAGAAACATTTTTACCAAATGCTGTTAAAATGTTATGGTATTTAGAGGGAAAGCATCTTAAAAATATATTTGGGGGGAAAAAGACATATTTGGGAAAATGCTCTATTCCTTGCTTTACACATGAGGCATTATTGTAATATTTCAATCTTTCTCATGTTTTTCATTTTGATTTAACACGTTTCAAGCAGTAGCTATTTTTCAGTTGATAACAAGAACGGGAAAATATGTTTTTACTCTTCTTCCCATAGTCAAACTCCAGTATAAACAGTACCTAGTGGTCTCTGCAAATAAACACCTCCCACAATGGATGTGGGTTTGGACGTAGAGATAGCTTATTACTTCAGATTTTCATTGTATTTATTCATTGGGGCAGTATGAACCCTTCCTGACTGATAGCCATCTTCTTATCTAAAGGACTTTGATTCTTAATGAACAGGTAAGAAAAGAACTTGTGATTTATGAAATAAGAGAGGTAGCAGTAGCAACAGCTTCTCCCGTTCAGTGATTATTGTAGCAAAGTCAAGCCTGAAACAATGAAGAATGAGGGTCATGCACTGCCTGACTCATTTCAGTACAATACACAAATGGCTTCATTTTATAGAATGAGCCATTTTAGCACTTCTCTAATGATGTTTTGATTAAAATGAAATAAAATACATAAAGAAGCAACCTGTTGGCTGGGCGAGGTGGCTCACACCTGTAATCCTAGTACTCTGGGAGACCAAGGCGGTGGATCGTTTGAGTTCAGGAGTTCGAGACCAGCCTGAGCAAGAGCGGACCCCGTCTCTACTAAAAATAGAAAGATATCTTCTTTCTGGTTGTTCAGTCAAAAAAAAGAAAAAAAAGTAAGTAAATATAGAATGAAAAAGTAATAATAGTAAAAAATAAAAAAATAAAAAATAGAAAGAAATTAGCTGGACGACTAAAATATATAGAAAAATGAGCCAAGCACGGGTGGACATGCCTGGTAGTCCCAGCTACTCAGGAGGCTGAGGCAGGAGGATTGCTTGAGCTCAGGAGTTTGAGGTTGCTGTGAGCTAGGCTGATGCCATGGCACTCTAGCCTGGGTAACAGAGTAAGACTCTTGTCTCAAAAAAAAAAAAAAAAGAGGCAACTTGTTTATACGAAAGAATTTTATTTTATTGGTAACTGCCAGTGCATCAATTCTAATTCCTTTGTTGGGAGTTAGAGTATTTGATCTTAGGGTTGGAGGGACCTTAAAGGATATATCCAACTGGGTTTAGTGCGCGGGGCTCGCGCATCTGTAATTCAGCTACTTGGAAGGCAAGGCAGGAAGATGCTTGAGCTCAGGAGGATAACATGGTCAGATTTGGGCCAAACCCTTGGCAAAGACTCTCCTCCCCACCAGAGTGAGACAACTCATGGCCAAATTCTTCTTGCTTAGTCTCTCCTCCAGTAGATTCTGTGCTTAGAGGTCTTATTCTCTCT